GTTGTTAACTATTGTTCCTATATCGTTATTACTACTGTTATTGGAAATATGTTTATTGTCGTTGTTGCTTCTGCTGCTGCTGCTGCTGCTGCTGTTGCTGTTGCTGTTGCTGTTGTTGTTGTTATTGTTGTTGTTGTTGTTGTTGTTATTGTTGTTGTTGTTGTTGGGTTCAGCCTGTTGATATTGTAATATCGTTCGACTCGAGCTTTACTTTCGTGGCCAAGCCAAGGTAATGGGCCATGCTTTGTATGACCGCAAGCGTGGCAGTAACGTGGACATAAAGTCCTTATTCTTTGCCCCAGATCCGAACCGCCTCTTGGGCGAAATGCGGTGCGCGTGCATGGCGGCTGGCGGAGATCCAGCCATTAATGTACTGCTTTGACTTGACAATTCATCTGTGGCATGATATGTCGAAGTTCGCACTATGCAGAGGCACACAGAAGTGGTACTGTTACTGTACTGTAAAGATTGCAGATCGGTCTCCGATCGCAAAGCCCTTGACCGGCCAAGGTTGCATGATGCATCTCAGCTTCGAAGAGACAGCCAGCATTCGTGTTTGATTTTGTCACGTGTCGCTGGCGTTCCTCTTGAACTATCTAGAACTTCAGAACTAATCGCCGCCTCGGTGTTCAACGACGCTGCATCTGTGATCAGCTATGCTTATCAAAAATCTGCGAGGAAGTCGTACACGAACCTGAAGAAACTGGGCAGCGGTGCCTTTGGTTCTGTCTACAAAGCCCAATGCCGCCTGACTGCAGAGTGGCGCGCCATCAAGCGACTCGGCCATGATTTGGCAGCATTTGCCTTGCTTGCTGCGGGAGTCGGCCTTGTACAAGCTGAAGTGCAGACACTCCCAACACGCCTCTGTTTTTCACTTGCATTGAGTGTCCACGGGTTGCTGTCGTGTCGTACAGTGCAACAAACAAGGAAACTTCCGCTGTCTGACGTTGCCTCGTGGTTGCATCTTCTTGTGAACATCGCCACTTTCCAGTCCCGAAGTTTTTCCTGCAGCGTGCAAACATAATCAAGCTGAGGAGGACGACATGGCTTTCGTGCGGTCCTTCTTTTGGTGACATCCGTGCTGTTGGGGTTTTGAAGACTGCTACGCCCGAGTAGCGCGACAGTCGTCACTGGATTGCCAAGGTCTATGCGGAGCTTGAGGCCATGATTCACCTGCACCACCCCAACGTGGTCAAATTCTACGAATCTCGTCCCATCAGATTGTGGTGCACAGATTCCCTGTTTGAGCACGGTTGCAAGTTCTGGGCAGAGTTGACCCAACTCGCGAGGAGCACTTCGAAGAGGACTTCGGCCTGTTTTCTTGCTATTGGGTCCGCTTTTCCGACTTGCTCCGGTGGGAGACGATTCGCCTCGGACAAGTACAAGGTAGTGCTACAGCAAAAGGCGATAAACCAAGTGCTCCTCCAACAGCTCGCAATAGAAATCCGCAGTCGTGTCGTGCCCGATACACAATCTTCCGTGATGACGGTCGGAACTTGACGTTCACCACCTCGACTGGCCAGCAATCCGTAAAAGAAGCGAAGTCAGCAGAGCAGCTGGGTTTTCTGTCATGTCTGAAAGCGCGGCCAGGGCCAGCAGAGTTTTCTTCATGAAATGTCAACACGAGCTTTTCCTTGCGGGTTTGCGTGGAATTGCATACGCCCTCAGCCGATCCTCATTGTTTTGTAATTGTAATGTAAGCCTTGCTTGGACGTTAGTGCTGCTGTCGTGGTGGAATGAATTCCGCTGCCCCTGCGCGGGCAGTCCCATCAACTTCCGGGTACACCCAATGTGAGGGAGCCTGCAGCATGTGTGTTTGCCTTCACCCGTTGTCTGCACCAGGAGAGCGCTATTTTCCTTGTCACTGAGCTGTGTGATGGTGGCGACTTCTCGGAGTTAAACCACGGCATTGACGATCCACAGGCACAGAACCCGTTGGCAAGCTCATGTCGGGTAGCGCCAGAGCTGAGCACGCTGTACTAGGAAGTGAAGCTGTTGATCCGGGACGTGGTAAAGGCGCTTGCAAGTTTTTCTTTTTGCGGCTTCTTGCAGTTCTTCTTTAGCCTTGTGGGCGTCATGCTTTCAGTGAAATCCAGGCACTAGCATATTGCCACGACCACGGGGTTGCGCACCGATGCCCGGCAGTGGAGTTTTGGACATCCTTCAAGCGGTCCCAGCCCTGCAGACATCTGAAGGGCAGTTTGTCCGAGGAGACTTGAAGTTTGAGAACTGCCTCATAAAGGAGAGCATTCGTGACTACAGGGTGGGAAAGGCGTGGCAGGGGTCGTGCTGTGCTGGGATGTCATGGCGCGACTTCCACCAGCATTTGTCCAGTCGTCCAACTACAGTAATGCCTCAGTGGCGATCAGCTTACTCGACATGCTTGAGCCTTAGCACTGAGCCACTGAGCAGGTCATCGACTTCGGTCTCTCAGCGATCCGGGCTAGAGGACACACGGGCTTCAGTCAGCAGTCTTTTCCATCGCTAGAGAAGCTCTCAGTTCCATAGCCTACACTCGATGGACCTGCCAGCTCCAGCTCGGCTCAATCCAATCGGTGCCGCAATGGCCCGGTCGCTCAGCTTTGCGCGCTCCAGCTGGAAACCGAGAAGCACTGCAGTGTCGGCTGGTCCTTCGCGCTTCTCGCAAGCACCCGCCGGCTTGCATGCGCCATGCGCTCCCCGAACATCCCGGAGCATCGGCGCTGCGGTGATGGCATCGGGAGCTTTCAAGATGCTGGGTACGCGACGGATGCTGCGGCAGAATGGCTGCAACAAGCTCCGCATAAGAGCTTCTCTGCAAGTAAGTCAATTGCTGGTTTTGACAGGCTGGGCCGCATTGTGCGAACAGCTGGAGAAGTACGGCAAACCAGGCCAGAGGGCTCGGATCAAATTCAACCAGGTGGTGAGGACTTCAAGGAACATGTGGCATGTCGTGGGTAGAATACAGGGTGCCTGCTCTCCTTATCGGCTTCAAAGTGTCGCTGCTTGTCAGTGGGGCTGCTCCCGGCCTGCGTGCACGTGACCTGACCGATCCGACCACGGCGCTGCACCAAAGGCCCCTTGTTTGCAAGTGTCCTTCTGAGCTCGAGAGAGACAGACAGCTGTAGCAATTGAGGGATCAACATCGACGGTCTCGAGAGAGCCCTGACCTAGAAAGGTACCATGATGGTACGCTGCAGTACACTATGGACAACATGGAGTGGGTGGAGCAGAAAGGCTTGACGTTTTAGTCACGAGGCGGTCCGGAGGACTAACGCAGTGTCAGGCTTCAGCAAGGACGACCACCTCTCAGACGAGCAGAAGGGTTCCCTGCGCGCCCAAGCACGCGTGCGTTTGGAACGGTGGCCTCGCCTTCTGGAAGAGGCATGGGCGGGGCATACACGTATGTTGGCTTTGGAGGAAGAGTCTCGTAATGTCCTGACTCCGTCCCCCGGGGAGGACATGCAGCGAGTGCAGCATTGCGAGCGACAGTCTTTCTGTCCCTGGCCAGGCAGCATAGTTCAAAAATGAGCTCGTACAGGGCATCGGGTGTCTTTAGCTTGCTTGAGAAATAGTCGCCACTCAGCTCTAATCAGACGTTCGGTGCTTATAAGCCATGAGATTCCACAAGTGTTCCCGGCCACAGCAGGACGCTTGAAGCCTTGAAGCGGCATTGTGGTTGTAAGTTGTCCGAGTTGTTGACAGGTAACCTTCTCAAAAATGAAAGCTGTTGGGGTCAGAATGTGTGGTCAGCAAGCGAACCTGTTCTGTGGGTGCTGCAGCGCAACCACACTACAGATAGCATTGGTGATAGAATCACCATGCTAGACTACCGGGGGATGTGCCTCCTTGCCTATACATTTCCTTCTGGAGGTGGCTTTGCGCTGGGCGATCCGGGTGAGAACGTCTTCGTGATCAGCTTGGCCCGGAGGCCCGAGAAGCGCCAGAGAGTCCTGCAGCAACTGGAGGAGAATCAGTTGCGACTCGGAAGCACTTCTTGGTGTGGTCCTCTTGGCGGGTGGTTCTGTTGGGTACTGTACGTGCCAAGTCCTTCTGAAAAAAAGCACCGTCTGCCTTCAGGAACGCAACTCTGGTCAACGCTATAGATGGGGATGGGATTCTTTACCAACAGGACGTGGAGGCTGTTTCCTGCAACATGTCAGCTGAACTTGGGGGCACGGGAGGGGATGGGGCTTATTGGAGGCGCTTGGAGCCCGCATCCTGCCGGGATATGATGCCGGCTTCAGCAATCACAATATGCCTTACACCACTGGCGAGGCGGACGCTCGTTCTTCGTGTGCCACAGCTGTCAGCTCAATCGCTTTCGCGCCGGCAAGGTGGGTTGCTTCTTGAGCCACTACGCTGTTTGGCATCACATGGTGGAGCAGAACATATCGACTGCCCTAATTCTGGAAGACGATTTCGACGTGCAGGAAGATTTTCGAGAACGATTGGGCCACGTGGGCTCTGTTCAGTTGTGAGTGTTTGACGGTTCAGTTTCTGCAAGTGGGTGGTGGGTGTCCCAATGCTTGCAAAGGTTCATACTTGGCCGAAGTCGAGGGTCTCGACTGGAACCTCATGTGGCCCAGCTTCGGATGTCTGTCCCCAACTTCCTTTGTCATCCGCTTTTGTTTCTATTGCTGCAGCATTCCGCAGACCCTGGTTGTACTGCGCAATTTTGCGTACAATCACGCAGGCATGCGTGCATGCATGCATAAATTAGTTGTACATACATGCATGCATGACATACATACATGCAGACATACAGATGTATATATATATATGTGTACGTGTATGTCTGTGTATGTGCAAATGTACGTGATTGCATACATAAACAATGCGGCATTAACACCAGGCGTGCATTGTTGTGTGTATATATACATGCAGGTACACACATACACACACGCACACGCACACGCACACACACACACAGATATCCACATATATATATATGCGCGTGTGTGTGTGTATGTATGTATATAGACATGTATACCTGTGCAGGTAGGTTTTATCTTGTGGCGAATGCGTGCATTTCATATTGTGGCGGGTGCGTGCTGCCAGCCGCATGCAGGTACGTGGGCAGGAGCCCCATGGAGAATGATGTCAGCAAGGTCTCGGAGCATGTGGTGCAACCGGGCTATACCTTGTGGACTGTCGGCTACATCCTCCGCCTGGATGCGGCGAAGCAGCTTCTGGAAACCCACGCTGAACAGCACATGTGGCTAGGTGTGGCATTCCAGGAGGTTGTGTGCATTGAGTTGTCACTATGGACAGAACTTCCCTGTAGCAGCCGAGGATTCCCTTGGACGATTTCTTTTCCGTATCAATGGGTTGTGGGATGGATGGACAGTACAACGAACGGGCTGTAGAATGGAGTGCGCAGATCCCCCCGATCATGCGAGGGCTGGCTTTCAATCCTCCCCTTGTCATGCCTTATGTGGGGTCGATGTTTAAAAGCGACACGGCCATGCTTCGACCTGGGACACGTTACGTGCAAGATTTGCCGCCGCATGGAGATGATGTTGTCTCTCCTGATCCGCGCTCTCGTGGCTTGGCCCCGGCTAATGCAAGGGAGGCAAGCGTTCACTTTCCTGCCAGCGCTGGTTCCCGCCGAGCGTTGATGCCGAAGGAGTGGAGGGAGGCACTGGAGACTCTTGATGCCATCTACGCAACAGCTGCAAGATGATGACTAATGAGTCTCACTCCGCCCCACCAGGACGACGGCAAGAGCACATAGAGCAAAATCGATGCACTCGAATCAGCGCCAAGACCTCATCAAGAGTCGGAGGCAAGCGAGCACCTTCCAGCTTCTGCACGAAAGTGCTGCCTCTGCCATGGCTGGGCAAGATCAGTTGTTCCTGTGCATGGCGAGGAAAGAGCCACAAGAAGACCGCATAAATGTTGATGCGGTTGTCTGCTACGCATGAGCGCAAGGGCAATCGCAGTCTGAAAGAACATGATGCCGCAATGACAACTACCCATAGATGCAATTTCCAGTGTTTCATAAGATTCAGAAGCTGGGACTCCGGGCGGGAACCGCAAGGTCAGCATGAAGGAAGTCCTTCGGGTTTCTTGGCATCCGGCTTTTGTTCGGCTTCCTAGGGTTGAATGCCCCGCCTCAGAGGACATGTAAGACAACGCCAAACACACACACACACACACACACGCACACGCACACGCACACGCACACGCACACACGCACACACGCACACACGCACACACGCACACACGCACACGCGCACACGCACACGCACACGTGCGCACACACACACACACACCCACCAACATCCGCACAAACACCGGCAC